AACAGAAACGGGGCACGATCCAGCACGTCCAAATCCAATCATTTTCCATGTGAGACTTCGGCACAACTGTTTGTCCCGTCAGACATTTACAGAGTTGGCAGGCTATCATTACTATGAATTAATCACTGAGTGAGAGAGACGTCTGTAAAACCACAGATGAAGAAACTCATCTCGGAAGCCTGTCCACCCTTGTTGGTACCTCAGAGAGCCAGTTTGGTGTAATGGTTAGGAGCGTGGGCCAGGCTTGATTCCCCACTCCTCCAAATGCAGCCAACTGGGTGACCTTGGGTCAGTCACAAGTTCTCTCAGAGCTGTTCTCTCAAGGGCAGTTCTCGAAGGAGCTCTCTCAGCCCCACCTACCTCATAGACTGTCTGTTGTGGGGATGGGAAGGGAAAGGAGATTGTAAGGCGCTCTGAGACCCCGAGTAAAGGGCGGGGTATAAATCCAATCTCCTCCTCCTCCTCTTCTTCTGATGCATACCTTCCAATATCTCAGCAGCAAAAGTGTGTACGTACTTGTGATTTCTTCTTCTTCTATCATCATCATCACCATCATCTCATTTGTATACCTTTCTCCCCAAAGGGACCCAGATCGGCTTACATCACTCTTCTCTCCTCCATTTTATCCTCACAACAACCCTGTGAGGTAGGTTAGGCTGAGAGCATGTGACCAGCCCAAGGTCACCCAGAAAGCTTCCACGGCAAAAGGGAGGATTCGAACCTGGGTCTCCCAGATACTAGACTGTCACTCTTAACCACACTGGCTCTCCTTTTCTCATCCCATGGGTTACTCCCCAGCCTTCCCCTGAAATACATGTTGCTTTTCTTTTGCTGCTGTCTGCCGCATTAGTTTTATCTGCAGTAGGATCACCCATGATTTAAAAGTCAAGAACTCGTTCGCTTCTAGAAAAAGCATTACTAAAAGAAACCTTTCTAGCTATAGTTCTTGGACATAGTAAGGTAAAGGAAAAGGTTCCCTTGCTCGAAAGCCAGTCGAATCCGACTCTAGGGTTGCGGTGCTCATCTCCGTTTCAAAGCCAAAGAGGCAGCGCTGTCCGAAGTAGTTTCCGTGGTCATGTGGCCGGCAGGACTAAACACCAAGGCGCATGGAACGCTGTTACCTTCCCACCTAAGTGGTCCCTATTTATCTACTTGCAATTTCTTGCTTTCGAACTGCTAGGTTGGCAGGAGCTGGAACTAGAGACGGGAGCTCACTCTGTCATGCGGCACCCGGGTCTCGAACTGCTGAACTACTGACCTTCCATAGCCTGCAGTTCAGCGTCTTAACCACTTGAGCCACCGCAGCTCCCTTGGGCATAGTATGGGGCCTTGTTTCAGGGCTGCCAACCTCCAGGTGGGGGATGGAGATCTCCTGGAATTACAACTGCTGTCCAGAAAACATAAACTGCTTATTTATTTATTGTTTATTTAAAATCATTGTTACAATTCTCCTGGAGAAAATGGCTGCTTTGGAAGGTGGACTGCAGGGCCTGGCCTTATACCCTACCAAGGTCCCTCCTCTCCCTAAACCCCACTCTCCCAGCCTCCGCCCTCAAATCTCCAGGTATTTCCAAACCTGGAGTTGGTAACCCTAGACTCATGCATACAGAAAAAGAGAAGAGAAGAAGGGATTGGATTTATATCCTGCCCTTCACTATCTGAAAGAGTCTCAGAGCGATTTACAATCTCCTTCCCTTCCCCACAACAGACACCCTGTGAGTTAGGTGGGGCTGAGAGAGCTCCTTCGAGAACTGCCCTTGAGAGAACAGCTCTGAGAGAACTGGTGACTGACCCAAGGTCACACCAGATTTACATGCAGGCACACGCCTCTGCTATGAGGAGGAAATAGAAACCAGAAGATCAACAACAGAAGCTAACGGCACTCAAGAATTCCTACAGAGCCCCCCCCCCCCAGTATGGAAAAGAGACAGTGATATTCCAGGGTTCAGTTCCAAAAGGTAGGGTCTATTCATGGTAACAGCGTCAATATGAGCGTACAGTGGGATTCGCCATCCAGGCTATGAATAATAAGATTATCGTAATATTAGTGATACTGCCGATGCCAACATTATTAATACAGCAATTACAAATTGCATTATTCAATACCCGCCTCACAACAACCCTGTGAGGTAGGTTAGGCTGAGGGAGTGTGGCTGGCTTCCATGGCTGAGAGGGTATTTAAACCTGGGGTCTCCTAAATCCAACCCTCTAACCATGGCACCATACTGGTTTTCTGCTCTTGTTGTTGTTGTTCAGTCGCACAGTCGAGTCCGACTCTTCGCGACCCCATGGACAATCTCCCGCCAGGCTCTCCTGTCTTCCGCCGTCCTCCGAAGTTGGCTCAATTTCATGTTCGTTGCATCGCTGACACTGTCTAACCATCTCATCCTTTGCCGTCCCCGTCTTCTTTGACCTTCAATCTTTCCCAGCATCAGGGTCTTTTCCAGTGAGTGCTCCCTTCTCATTTGGTGGCCAAAGTATTTGAGCTTCAGTTTCATTATCTGGCCTTCCAGGGAACAGTCAGGGTTGATTTCTTTGAGGATTGACTGATTTGTTCTTCTTGCAGTCCAAGGGACTCTCAAGAGTCTTCTCCAGCACCATAGTTCAAAAGAATCTATTCTTCGGCGCTCGGCCTTCCTTATAGTCCAACTCTCACAGCCATACATGACTACTGGGAATACCATTGCTTTGACCATGTGGACTTTTGTTGGCAGGGTGATGTCTCTACTTTTTATCATGCTGTTTAGGTTTGCCATCGCTTTCCTCCCAAGGAGCAGGCGTCTTTTAATTTCATGGCTGCAGTCACAGTCTGTGGTGATCTGGGATCCCAGGAACGTGAAGTCTGTCACTACTTCCACGACTTCCCCTTCTATTTGCCAAGGAGTGATGGGGCCGGATGCCATGATCTTAGTTTTTTTGATGTTGAAGATCAGTATACATTCCAATCCCAAAGAAGGGCAATGCCAAGGAATGTTCAAACTATCGCACAATTGCACTCATATCACACGCTAGCAAGGTTATGCTCAAGATCCTACAAGCTAGGCTTCAACAGTACGTGGATAGAGAACTGCCAGAAGTACAAGCTGGGTTTCGAAGAGGTAGAGGAACTAGAGATCAAATTGCCAACATTCGCTGGATTATGGAGAAAGCAAGAGAGTACCAGAAAAATATCTACTTCTGCTTCATTGACTATGCTAAAGCTTTTGACTGTGTGGATCACAACAAACTATGGCAGGTCCTTAAAGAGATGGGAGTACCAGACCACCTCACATGTCTCTTGAGAAACCTGTATAAGGGCCAAGAAGCGACAGTTAGAACCACAGTTGTTTCTGCTCTACTACTATACTAAACATGACATTATTATAGCATGGCAACGATAACGTTAACAATATGAACAATTTAAAAAAATTATTTAAAATGTCTTCCTCCAAAACATTCGCATGAATATAACAAGTCTTGTCAACCTATCATTTCAGTTCAGCGCTGATATTAAAAATATAATCATAGTTGTATTACCATGTACCAATGCTCCCTCTAAGCTGTGGAGTCTTGTGAGCAAAAATTCTACTTGGTGAGCTACTGGCATTAAAGTTGTGAGCGAGCCATTTGGCCGCTGCATAAATTAGTTTGCTCTGAAGCCACCCTTCCTGAGCTAAGACAAAAAGGTGTGAGCTCTGTTACGTGTGGAAACCGGACACGGAAGTCAAGCAGGAAATTCACACGTGGGCTCAATCAAGTACAGCTTTTATTGAGGCATGGTTTGCAAAGCATGGAGAGAATCTGGAGGGCGGTCCCCCAGCGACTCTGATTTCTGTGGCGCAGCACAGAAATTTTTATACTCTAACTGGCTGAGGTAACCAATTGGCCCCTCCCTCACATTCTTACCTAACTCCAAGCAAAGTTTCCCCCCTTCCCATGCCCCACACCTGTAAAGCCCTCATGTTCAGTGGAATATTCCGTTATTTTTCCTACTTAGCTAGTTTGGGCCTCCCGTTATCTATTTTGCAGCTCTCAAAGCCAGCTCTGTGTAGAACGAAGAATCTTAGGAATTCCTACATGTAAGCTTAGTTACTTTTTCATGAGAGATTCAGAACATCTCTGAATATGCTCCTGCTCCCCCTTTCAAGCTCGAGGCTAATAAACTGTGAGCTGGCTCACACTAACTCAGCTTAGAGGGAACACTGCCATGTACTATTATAATTATAGAACAAAGTAGGAGTCCAGTGGCACCTTTAAGACCAACTTCCTTTAATTCTAGGTATAAGCTTTTGTGTGCATGCACGCTTCTTCAGACACAAGTGTGCATACATATGAAAGGTAATACTGGGGTTACCAACTCCAGGTTGGGAAATACCTGGAGATTTGGGGGGTGGAGCCTGAGGAGGGCGGGGTTTGGGAAGGGGAGGGGCTTCACCGAGGTATATGCTTTTGAGTCCACCTACCAAAGTGGCTATTTCCCCCAGGTGATCTGATCTCTGTCGCCTGGAGATTAGTGGTGATTTGTAATCCCAGGAGATATCCAGCCACCACCTGGAGGTTGGCAACACTGCCTTATTCCCAGAATTAAACTTTGTTGGTCTTAAAGGTGCCACTGGACTCAAACTTTGTTCTGTTGCTTCAGACCAACACGGCCGCCCACCTGAATCTATTATAATTATATAATTATATGCAAATATAATTATGTCTATTTTGTTATTAAAATTATAATTTCAAATCAATTATAACACTTTTTGAAATCCTTGACGGAAAGAATTTGCAGCAAGAAACAAGCCCCGCCTCTTCCCTTAGGCCCCGCCTCTTCAAGATTCCTCCTACCGCCGCCTTCGAGAGGCCGTTCCTAGACACAGAGAGGGGCGGAGGAGCGATTGCTCGGCGATCGCCTCCACGCTTCCGCCGTCGGAGCCTCGCTCTGGATTCAAGATGGCGGTCTGTGTGAAAAGGGCCTATCTGCGCCCTGTCGTCGTTCACCTGACCTCGTCACGTGGCGCGCCGTCTCCAAGATGGCGGCCCTCTTGTGGCTGGCGCTCGGCGGGGCGCTGCTGCTTATGTTGTTATGGCGACGGGCGCGGCCTACCGGCTCCGAGGGCCGCGCGGCGGTGGTGGTGCTGGGCGACCTGGGCCGCAGCCCCCGCATGCAGTACCACGCCCTGTCGCTGGCCCGCCGGGGCTTCCACGTCGCCTTCGTCGGCTACGCAGGTGAGTCCTTCCGCCTCTGGCCCCGCCCGCTGGGGAAAGAGGTAGAAACTTGCTTGGCTCTATTTGCAAGTTTATTTGCTCCAAGCAACCGTTTGAAAGCACGGCGTGCAGCAAATCCTCGCCAAGCAGTTCCAATGCAAGCTGGAAAGGCTTTCGGCGCATGCTCAAGGTAGGGTTGCCAGCCTCCAGGTGGAGCCTGGAGATCTGGAATTACAGCATGCTCTGCAAACTGTCAAGGTCAGCTCCCTTGGAGAAAGTGGGTGCTTTGGCGGGTGGACTCTTATGGCATTGCACCCCGCGGAGTCTTCTCCTGAAACTCTATTTTCCCCAGGGTCCAGCCCTCAAATCTCCAGGAATTTTCCAACCCAGAGTTGGCAACCATAGCTCAGAGGCACTCTTGGTGATCTGCATTGTTAATTTCTGGATTATTACTTTCATGAATCCACAAGCTGGATGTTGGCGAGGCTGAAGATGCTTTGGGCGTGTTCTACAGAACCCTGCCTTAATGCAGAGCAAGGGTTCCTCGGAGCCCTAGATCTTGTGTATAAGCAATACTGATTGCATGTGCGCAAAGATACACTTTCTGTGCATCGTCATAATTTGGCATACGAGTTACACTTTCTTCACAATCAGAAGAACCGTTGCTTTGTGGAAGACAGTAGTACCACTGAGCATGTGGAGAGAGGTTTTAGTCTTGCTAACTAAGACTCCTTACACATGCTGAGAGGAATGCTTGTTGTGCATTATAATTATTTTTGGGATGGTAAGCCACAGGGTGGTTGTTGGTACGATTAAAGACTTTTTTAACGTGTGTTCAGAAGTATTCTTGCTTGGCACTATTATTATTCCATGATGTTCCTTCCAGGGCTGGAATTGAGAACAGGTTCTGGGGGCCTTTTCTGTGTTTAAAAGAATTATGGGTGGTTTAAAGAAACCACTGAGGAAATAACGAATCCTTTTGCTTTTTTCCAGGTACAAAGCCGCACAACGATCTCTTGCATAATGAAAACATACGGATAGTACACATTCCAGAACATAAAACGTGGCAAGGTGCGGCGAATGTTGCAGTGTTGTCTGTTGCGTGCCAAACATGGGGGTGGGGAAACTGGGCATGCTCAATGCTTTCTTTGTGCACTTTCCCACTGTCCCCTGCCCAGTCAGGATCTGGCAGAAGGCATGCCTGTGTAGAAAGCATTTGGAGTGTGTGTATTTTTTGGGGGGTGCATTGTAGAGGAGCATCAGCGCCCATGCTTCCCTTCCACTGATAATTTCCTACAAAGGCTCAGACTTTGGGGGACTTCTGAATCCTGGAGCCATGTGTTGTGCCTAGCTGTGCACTGATTTTCAGGATGTAAAGCATCTTACTGACCCTGACCTAGATGACACAGGTTAGCCTGATCTCGTCAGAGCTTGGAAGCTAAGCAGGGCTAGCCCTGGTTAGTACCTCGATGAAGACCACCAAGGAAATCCAGCTTCAGGCCCGTAGCCAGGATTCTGTGGCTCGTGGGGCAGTTTTTCTCCCCAGTGCAGCTGAAATTCTCAGTGCAGAAAGAAAAGCCATCTAGCCAATAGAAAGCTGTCACCAGGAGAGATCTCTAAACTACAAGCTGTCAACCACTTTAGATGACAGTTCTCAGCTGCTGCAAGTTAATCACTTCTGCCAGCCAAAGCAACAATTCTGATAACAAACTAGCAGGTGGGAGTGATGACGTCTGTGGTCAAGAAAGGTAACATTTAGGCAGGAAAGCTCTCTTAAAGGAGACCAGTTTCTTGACACAGAGTTAGATGGGATCCTAGAGGTCACCTACTCCAACCCCTTTGCTTAGTGCTGGAATTAGTCAACTACAGTACCCCCCTCTGCTTAAAGGAGTGCATGCCTTTTAAAGATGTTTTGAAATGATTGAAAAAAGCATTGACAGGAGAAATTCTTGTGGGGCTGTCCCTTTAAGAAAGGCGTCGGAGCCCCCCAAAGCCCCACCGTAGCTTCAGGCCTGTCCAGGGTAGCTACGTAGAGACCAGAAATGGCAGGTCATCTCTTGCCTTAACTTGGATGGCCCATGCTAACCCGATCTCGTCAGGTCTCGGAAGCTAAGCGGGGTTTGTCCTGGCTAGTATTTGGATGGGAGACCAGTGAGGAATACCAGGGTCGTGATGGGGAGGAAGGCAAGGGCAAACCACCTTTGTTCATCTTCAGCCTCAAAAACCCTATGGGGTTGCCATAAGTCAGCTGTGACTTGGTGGCCGTGTACACACCCGCACACACAAAGCGTCCTACACCTTTGAGTTGTAAAAGCAGAGTTATTCGTTTCCCCCCCTCTCAACTGATTAAGTGTGTGTGGTTCTATAAGTAACAATAAACTTTGGTAACAGTTTTCTTTCCTCCTTGCAGTTGGCCCCAGAGTTTTCCAATATATCACAAAGGTGATTATTCAGAGTGTCCTGCTGTTTTACACGATGCTGAAGATAGAGAATCCGGGCTATGTTCTTCTCCAGGTATATCTGTGTGTGCATTTATGCAATGCTCTTTGCCTCCAGGTTTGGTTGAAAGCAGAGCAACAAACAAATCCTAGTGCTGTGTGCTTGGAGATTTTTTTTTTTTAAGCGTAATCATGTGTTTTTGTTTTGATCTGTATAGTTGGGTTATTGATCCTGAGATATTCAGTAGAACTGGGTATTTAGCCAGTTTGGTGTAGTGGTTAGGAAGCACAGACTCTAATCTGTGAGAAACGGGTTTTATTCGCCACTCCTCCGCATGCAGCTGCTGGGTGACCTTGGGTCAGTCACAAGTTCTCTCAGAGCTGTTCTCTCAAGGGCAGTGCTCGAGAGAGCTCTCTCGGCCCCACCGACCTCACAGGGTGTCTGTTGTGGGGAGTGGAAGGGAAAGGAGGTTGTAAGATGCTCTGAGACTCCTTCGGGTAGTGAAGGGCGGGGTATAAATCCGATCTCCTCTTGTTCTCTTCTAGAACACTTAGGTTTGAGTCCTTCACACCTTTGAATTGTAAAAGAGTTTCTTCTCAGTCTCAAGGTGAGAGGGATGTTGTAAAGGACGTGCAACAGTATGATGCAGTTTGTAATCAGCTTGATCAGAGCAGAGGGGAAAGGCTTGAGGGAAGAAAATTAGTGTGTCTGTGAGAAAGCACGGCTGTTTTTCTAGCGAGACAGGTCTCTGCCAGGTTGAGTTCACCACCTGAAGTCTGATAGCTGGAAAAGGGGCAGAGAAGAAATGGTAAGGCGGGGGAAGCCGTGAGGCCTAGAATGTTAAGCCAAAGCTGGGGAGGCCGATGGGTTGTGAGCAGTGTTCCCTCTAAGCTGAGTTAGTGTGAGCTAGCTCACAGTTTTTTAGCCTCCAGCTCACAGATTTTTGTCTTGGCTCAGGAAGGATGGGTCCAGAGTGAACTAATTTATGCAGTAGCCAAATCACCTGCTCACAACTTTAATGCCGGTAGCTCACAAAGCAGAATTTTTGCTCACAAGACTCCACAGCTTAGAGGGAACATTGCCTGTGAGGTAGGTGGGGCTGAGAACAGCTCTGAGAGAACTTGTGACTGACCCAAGGTCAGCAACTGCATGTGGAGGAGTGGGGAATCAAACCCCGTTCTCCCAGATTAAACTGATTTATGCGGTAGCCAAATCACTTGCTCACAACTTTAATGGCAGTAGCTCACAAAGTAGCATTTTTGCTCGCAAGACTCCACAGCTTACAGGGAGCATTGGTTGTGAGGAGGAGGCACGGTGGCACAATACAGCTCTTCTGGAAAGGAGATGGCACGAAAGCGCTCTTCTGGAGAGGAGTCTGCCCCATAGGGTGGAGCAGGGGAGACTGGCCTTTGTTGGCATTGCTCTGAAATACATTTGCTTCTTTTTTTTTTCCGTCCCCACGCACACCCAGAATCCTCCAGGTCTGCCCAGCATCGCTGTTATCTGGGCCGTTTGTTTACTGCGCGGGAGCAAGCTGATAATCGACTGGCACAACTACGGGTACACCATAATGAGCCTGACGCACGGAGCCAGACACCCGTTAGTTCGGATCGCCAAATGGTTTGTACGGGTGCCATGTTTTGGTCTTGTTTCAGAGGGCGGCCACGTTGGCGAACGGTAGAACGGCCAGGTGCAAGTCCAGTAGCGTCGTAGGGACCCAGCAAGATTGTCGGGGTGTGATCGTTCAAGAGTCAGAGCTCCATCAGATACTGACAGAGGGAGTTTTGGCTCTCGAACGCTTCTGTCCCGATTGGAGTCTAGCTTTTCTTTTTGGCGGTTCGTGGGACGCAGTGGTTGCGAGCGGCGGGCATCTGTTGAAACATTTGCCTTTTTGGCGGTGCTGGATCGGTACAGATCTAGCAAATGCTAATACTGAGCTTAGCTGTGGTTTTTGGATGTTGTCACGATGGCCGATAACTGTGCTTTGCATACTTCCCTGCCACTAAGAAATAACTAATCCTGCCGCTGGGCAGTCCCAAATCCCGCACCAAAAACATTCTGAATCCTGAGATGCCTCAAAATTCAGAATGTTTTGGGTGCAGAATTTGGACTGCCTGGTGGCAGGATTAGTTATTTCTTAGTGGCAGGGAAGTATGCAAAGCACAGAATCGGCCATCGTGCCAACATTCAAACACCACAGCTAAGCTCACTGTTAGCATTTGCTAGATAGTTTGGTGTAGAGGTTAAGTGCGCGGACTCTAATATGTGAGAACCAGGTTTGATTCCCCACTCCTCCACTTGCACCTGGCTGGATGACCTTGGGCAAGCCGTAGTTCTGACAAGAGCTGTTCTTGAAAAAGAGCAGTTTCTGTCAAGAGTTCTCTCAGCCCCACCTTCCTCACAGGGTGTTTGTTGTGGGGAGAGGAAGGGAAAGGAGTTTGTAAGCCGCTCTGAGACACCTTTGGTTAGTGAAGGGCGTATAAAGGGCGTATAAATCCAAACTCTTCTACTCTTCTTCTTCTACTTCTTAGCCCCTGTTTCTTGGGCGTCTGCTCTTTTATGTGATTCCACTTGTTTTGAATAGTTTATTTTGCTTTTCCTTTATGCTCTTCTGTGAAATTTTGGTTTTGCTAGATGCAGAGAAGGGAAATACAGCAAAGCCCTGCCGCTGGCCGAAAAAGGCACATTCTCTTACAGTCTACAGCTCTTTTCAGGCCATCTGGTTTTTGGCCTCAGGGTTATCTGCTATCAAAGGAAGACACATCTTGGCATACACAAAGACATCAGACAGTAGTGGTGAAGGTTGATCCGCTTTATTCCGAGGCTTTATGCCGTAGCAAAGATAGCACATGCTTTGATCTCGTCTCTCCCACAAGTTTAACTTGCGCGTTGGAGTACATGAAACCACTTCCCGATTTCCGTTTCATCTTAAAATGCCACGCCCGAGCTTTTCTCGAAGCAGGTTGGAGGAAAAAGGATTAGCAGATGTTCTCTCCGGAGCAAGAACCCTAAAGGCTGGTATTGACCTACCCAACTTTTAAATTAAGACCTGGCTGAGGGAGGAACCTTTCTCGGAATTAGTCCTTTCAGTAGTGACATTTAACAAGCTGTTTGTCCAGGAAGACGTCCCCGTTTTGTAACTGTTCATTTGAACGCTAGACAATAGAGTTCTTTGACGCGGTCGGACTGTCTCTTCCACAAACACGTTCCTCAATGTGGAATAAGTGGTGATTCCAACAGATTAGGTGTTCTGGGCAGAAGCGCTTATGCAAGTCTTTTAGCGAGCAATGCTAGATCTTTCTGGGAAACTGCAGGTCCTTTAATGCTGAATATAATATAAATATTTGCAAAAGGGATATGCAGATTAGTTATGCCGTAAGAGAGCCCCAATACGCGTTCTCGTTTTATGTATTGAAAACATTTGCAGACTAGGTATATCTCCCCCCTCCCCAAATGTACTCCAAATACTGGCTGGCTTCCAGTTTTTTTCTAGGCACGATTCAGAGTAAACACAGAGACATAGAGCTGGAAGGGACCCCAGGGGTCATCTAGTCCAACCTCCTGCACAATGCAGGACATTCAGAGTGTTGGTTTGTACTGTTGAGTCCCTAAAGGGCTTGGGCCTAGGGTACATTAGATACTTTCCTCCTCCTTCCATTCAAGTTAAGATTCCCCTCCTGTGGAAAAGAGGCGGGTGGCAACTGGAGACAGGGATTTTTCAGTGGTGGCCCCTCACTATTTGAATTTCCTCCCCCTTGAGGTTTGCCCGGAGCCTTCTTTGCTGCCATTTAGGTGCCAGGCCGAAACACTTCTCTTTACCCAGTCTTTTAACTGATGGGTTCTGACTTTCTAAGCTGTTTTGTGGGTTTTGCTTCTAGCCCAAGGACTGTTTCACTGCATTTCTGAGGGTGTAACTCAGCAGAGTGATTTCCCTGGGAGGTTGTGAAGGGAAAGTGTGGTACCTTTAGTACGGGAAGAGTTGTTGTTGTTGTTGCTATTGTTGTTATTGTTGTTGTTAAATGTATGTGCTGCCTCCCGCCACCAAGCTGGTCTCAAGGCAGTTAACGATAGCTAAAAGATTATCAGACCTCAGTTAAAAACACAATACAAATACAACTAAAAGGCAGCCCATATAAAGAGATCTGACGAATGAAAAGCTAAATGGAAGAGCTCTGGTTTGCGGGCCCTGCAGAACTTAGATAAATCCCGCAGGGCTCATGTACCGGCTGATCATAGAATCATAGAGTTGGAGGGGACCTCCAGGGTCATCTAGTCCAACCCCTTGCACAATGCAGGGAATTCATGGCTGGTTCTGCCAGGACAGGGCCACCACAAAGAAGGCCAAAAAAGTCAGCCTGCATAAAGTTCCTTTGCCTTGAAAGCGTATTGGGGGAAATCGTCTTGTCCTTTGCAGCCAAGTGATCTGGCTTCAGTTCAGTATCTCCATGGTTTTATTTTTTTTAAAAAATGATACAAAGGCAACTAGTAAAGGAAGCACCGTTTCTGTGGAAATAATCTATGTGAGACTAATGGATTCGGCACTCGGCAGCTGATGCCTTTTTCCCTTCTTTCAGGTACGAGGAGCTCTTTGGCCGCCTGTCCGACTGTAACATCTGTGTGACCAATGCGATGAAAGAGGATTTGGAGGCGAAATGTAGCATCAAGTGAGTTGGCTGTTTAAATGTCCCTTGGGCCAAGTGAAATGTCGGTCACGGGTCCCTGATGTTTTTGAACCTGTGGGCACCTTGGGAATACTGACGTAGGGTTGTGGGTGTGGCCACAAAATGGCTGCTTCAGGGAGTGGAGCCAGACACAAAATGGCTGCCGCAGCTTACCCTCAGTCACACAGCACAAGGATCTGTGTAACTTTTTTCCCACCATAGAGAACAATGGAGGGGATGGGGCAATCTGTTTGGAGGCCCGTAGAATTGGACCCCCTGGTCCTATGCTCTTGAAACTTGGTTGGTATCTTGGGGAGAGGCTCCAGCAGCTACCCTGTGAGTTTGGAGCCTCTCTCTCAAAACCCCTCCCCTCCAGCCCCCAGAATATACCCTATGTTTTTGCCATTGAAATGGCCCATAGGATATAATGGGGCTGAAATTGACATTCGGCTGGCGAAAGACTCCCAAATCAGCTCCTACTGACGAAACTGACATGCGGGAGTCTCACTGCCAGACGAAATTGATTCTGCCCAATTTGGCCGAATCCGAATTATTATTTTTTGGGCACCCCTACGTACGAAATCCGTGTGGAAAGCACTGGGTGGGGTGGGAGGGCAGAGCCCGCCTCCCCGGCTAAATCTAGAGTGCAAACCTATGCTGTGTTGCTCCAGTCTGAGCCCATTACTTGTAGGAGGCTTGGACCCAGGAGTAAATCTTCATAGGACCGCACTGTTAGGCTCTTCCCTTAGTAAATCTCATTTGTTTGGGCTTTCCGGTTCTGTGCAGATATTTCTTCAAAGGCAGTTTTCAGGGTGAGGGCCCTCTTTTCTTAGCCTTGCCTATTAACGTTTCCGTGATTATTGTTCTTATTCTTTCTTAATTGTCGTTTACCCGGTGAACTGCTTTTGTTTCAGAGCGATAACCCTTTATGACAGGCCAGCGTCTTTCTTCAAGGAGACGCCATTGAGTGACCAGCACCGGCTCTTTCTGAAACTCAGCAAAGACTATGTTCCGTTTAAAGCCCGATACGCGTAAGTAGATACAGGTTTTGCTCTCCTGTCTCAGGGTTCCCCAACCTGGTGCCCCGGGGCACCATGGCACCTGCCAGTGATTCCCTTGGCGCTTGCTGAGCTTTTCAGAAAGTGAGTGGAGCCATTTTAAGGCAAGGTTTGTTATTGGTTTCCCTCATTCAAATGAAAGAGTTTTCCACTGAAGGATGAGGAGGACCTGCAATCATTTGGCCTTTCCTTAGTTATTCCCCCCTCAGGATTTCCTTCTTCTCAGGAGATTTGAGGGGGGCGGTAGTTTGTTTGGTTCCGCTACAGTTTGGTGTAGTGGTTAAGGCACGGACTCTAATCTGGGAGAACCAGATTTGATTTCCCACTCCTCCACATGCAGCTGCTGGAGTGACCTTGGGTCAGTCACAAGCTCTCTCAGAGCTGTTCTCTCAGGAGCAGTTCTCGAGAGAGCTCTCTCAGCTCCACCTATCTCACAGGGTGGCTGGTGTGGGAAGGGGAAGAAGAAGAGGAGATTGGATTTATACGCCTCCTTTCACTACCTGAAAGAGTCTCTGAGCGCCTTACAATCTCATTTTCCCTCCCCTCCCCCCAACAGACATCCTGTGAGGTAGGTGGGGCTGAGAGAGCTCTCTCGAGAACTGCTCCTGAGAGAACAGCTCTGAAAGAACTTGAGACTGACCCAACGTCACACCAGCAGCTGCATGTGAAGGAGTTGGGAATCAAACCCAGTTCTCTCAGATTAGAGTCCACGTGCCTAACCACTACACCAAGCTGGAGATTGTAAACTGCTCTGAGACTCCAGGTGAAGGGCGGGGTATAAATCCAATCTCTCTCTCTCCTTCTTCTCCTGAGGCAACCATTTTGGGTTTGGTTCCACTTCCCATGGAGGACATTTTGGGGTGGCGCTCACCTGCCCCCTCTCAAAATTCCAAAGGTCCCCACTGCCTCATAAAGGTGAGGGACATCTGTCATATTGAGTTGAGAACAGGTATTTGTTCTGTGTTCACACAGCAAACGCAAATGGATTTAGGACCCGGAGACCAGTTCTTCCTCCTTTCATCTTGAAGGTGTTTGGAGGGAAATAAGGACGCTGGCCAAACAATGAGAATTGCAGGGCTGATTAAGACATACATGCATAGGGCTTCATCTCTCAGCTTTTGGTCCTGGCTTACGCAACTTCCCGAGCTTTTGCGTATTAGAGAAACAGCTCGAAGCCTTCCCTTCCATCTGGCAGCCGAAGAGCAAGATTTGAGTCTGGCAGGACCTTAGAGACCGACCAGGTTTCCAGGGGAACTCACGAGTGGCTAAAGTAACATGAGCTGAAAGGGTTTTGCCAGTGCCTCGGCAGAGGACTAACTCCTGCTTCTTACACGCCCTTGTCTCAGAGCAGAGCCCATCCCACCGGGTGACGGCAACGAGAAATCGGCCTTCACGCAACGAGAGGCCCGAAGCGGACAGGTGACCCGCCTCAAAGACCGGCCGGCGCTCCTGGTCAGCAGCACCAGCTGGACAGGTCTGGGCTCTGAGCCAGGATTTTTTGTTCAAATTATGCGCTGCCCTTCAGAGGCCTGCAGTTGAAGCAGCGACCTTTTAGCTAACCGTGCCACCGTTCTAATGTATGAAATAAGGGGAATATGAGCATGGGGAATGTCAAGACCCTTTCCTCGATCCCTCGGATCTTTTCTTAACTTGGGTGTTGTTGACGTGTGCGTGAGAACGGCGTGGCGCAGTGTGGAACACGGAACCAGTCAAGTGGACTGCATCCATTTGGATTGAGGGTGGGGTTGGCCAATGTGAGGGGTCCAGGCCTCTTCTAGGGATTGTAAGACCACAGGGAGGAGAAAGCAAACTTGATCCCCAAACCTGGAATCAAGAGCCACAAGGGTAAGAAAGAAGCCTGATAAAGGCCCAACATTAAAAACCAGTGCAAACATATTATATACAAAAATACATGTGTTTATTAGAAAGAGAGTCAAAAATATACAAGGGCCCAGTGAAAGCCTCATTACAAAGGACAAGCGACCGGATGCGTTTCCGCACGTCGTATCTTAGTCAGAGCTGCTGTTTGTTGAGGACAGTCCAGCTCTGACTAAGAAAGTCACATAGGTGTTTTCTGGACCAGAATTGGAAGATGTTCCAATTCAGCAGCTTTGCGTTTGGCAGCAGACACATGACTCTCATCTTAAGAGGCCTCATAAACTCCGCTGTCTTGTGTCTATTGATCTTGCTGCTTAACTTTCCTTTTTTTGGTCCAGGATTAACTTATTGGTTATTTCATTGTAATATGGAACATGTGTCTGTCTGTACCTCAAACTGTTTTGATCTCTGAAGGCGGCCTCCAAGGGGCGGAGTCTGGCTAGGGGACTCAGGTCTCCAGAGGGAGATCAGTTGCCTTAAACTAGCAGTATTTATTAACTCTAAAAGTCCAGGGGTCATTTCGTAGGAAAAGAGGTGCAGGAGCTCATTAGCATAACTCATTTGCATATGCCACAACCCCTGACATCATCGGAAGTGTGTCAGAAGGCAACACCCACCGCTCAGGCTCCACTGGACTGTTCTGGATTGCTAGCTATTGGGGGGGAGGGGAATGCGCAGATCTGCCCTCACAGAGGAGGGAGACCTTGTACCTAAAGGCGGGCCGGGGTGGGGGGCTCTGCAACTTACCTGGCTGCTTCTTGCTCCTCGTGGCCCGACTGAGGGCTGCTGGGAGCAGGGGGCGGGGCTTGTTGCATGTGCCCGCCCCCTGGGCTCCTTACTGCCGGAGCTCCGCTCCTGTCCGCTCCCGCAGGAAATGACCCCTGTCTAAAACCAGACACAGGTAAAACTCAATAGCATATATTCAGTATCAATGCCCAATAGCATATAGAAAAATCCCAATACCTGATAACGGTGTGTAGTTCAGAAAGAAGAAGGAATTCCTGGACTGTGGACCAAGACCTCACTCAAGCCTAGGGGGGGGTGTTGGCCAGACAGCCCCGAACAGAGCCCAGAGCCACCTTTTTGTTCTCTTTTCAGCCAATAGGAATCAAGGGAGGAGTCAGTTAAAAATATACCAAACTTGCCAAACTTGGATAAAATGGAACCTTTACTAGTGTGACCTTTAGCCCAGGTATAGTTTATTAACTGTGATGTCGAAAAGATGATGATGATATTGGATTTATACCCTGCCCTTCGCTACCCGAAGGAGTCTCAGAGTGGCTTATAATCCCTTTCCCTTCCCCTCCCCAAAACAGACACCCAGTGAGGCAGGTGGGGCCGAGAGAGCTCTTTCGAGAACTTCTCGTGAGAGAACAGCTCTGAGAGAACTTGTGACTGACCCAAGGTCACACCAGCAGCTGCATGTGGAGGAGTGGGGAATCAAACCCGGCTCTCCCAGATTAGAGTCCGCACTCTTAACCTCTACAGATACGTTTAGGCTTTGGAGGCTGGCACTTGGAAGGCCGTGGAATGTGAATTCAGGCAAAGGGACATCTACAGGGCAAGGCTTTAGTTTTTACACCTAGGCAGCCAGCAGAAGAGCAAAGGCTTATGGGACTTCTGCACCGAGAAACCAGAGTCGGTGATAGCAAAACCTACATAGCATAGAGGAACAGAAAGGCCCAGGCTCATTGGATCCCAAATTCTGCAATAGGTGGCAGACAGGCAGAAAGCCAGTTTCGCAAAGAACAAGGGTGGGGGTCGAAGCTGTCTTCAAGGCAAGAGACGAGCAGGTGGTTGGCTGTTGCCTGCATGCCAACCCTGGACTTCCTTCCTGAGAGCCAGTTCGGTGTCGTGGTTAGGAGCGCGGACTCTAATCTGAGAGAACCGGGTTTGATTCCTCACTCCTCCACATGCAGCTGCTGGTGTGACCTTGGGTCAGTCACAAGTTCTCTCAGAGCTGTTCTTGAAAGAGCAGTCCTCGAAAGAGCGCTCTCGGCCCCACCGACCTCACAGGGTGTCTGTTGTGGTGAAGGGAAGGGAAAGGAGATGGTTAGCCACTCTGAGACTCCTTCGGGTAGTGAAAGGCCAGGTATAAATCCAATCTCCTCTTCTTCTCTTCTTCTTGGAGGTCTCCCATCCAAATACTAGCCAGGGCCGGCCAACAGAGCCAGTTTGGTGTACAGAGCCAGTTTGGTGTACAGAGCCAGTTTGGTGTACAGAGCCAGTTTGGTGTAGTGGTTAAGTGCGCGGACTCTAATCTAGGAGAACTGGGTTTGATCCCCCACTCCTCCACTTGCACCTGGCTGGATGACCTTGGGCAAGCCGTAGCTCTGATAAGAGCTATTCTTGAAAAAGAGCAGTTTCTGTCAGAGCTCTCTCAGCCCCACCTGCCTCAGGGTGTCAGCTGTGGGGAGGGGAAGGGAAAGGAGTTTGTAAGCCGCTCTGAGACTCCTTTGGGTAGTGAAGGGCGGGGTATAAATCCAATCTCTTCTTCTTCTTCTGCTTAGCTTCTGAGACCTGACAAGATCGGGCTAGCCTGGGCTATCCAGGTCAGGACAAACTCGATTTAGGCATGACTTACTCTGTGTAGAACTGACCTTTTTGAGCTTCATCTCTGAGATGGTCTGGGGTTGTCTCTGGCTTCTGATTTGAGCCGTTGTCTTTTTCTTTCTTCTTTCAAACTGTGACTGTTGTTACCAGATTGCTCCATAGCGGAACTAATTGGAGAAATACGGGGGGGGGGGGGGGGGGTTTCCCCCTGAGCTGCGGTGGCTCGAGTGGTTAAGATGCTGAACTGCAGGCTGTGGAAGGTCAGTAGTTCAGCAGTTCGAGACCCGAGTGTGCCGCCTGACGGAGTGAGCTCCCGTCTCTAGTTCCAGCTCCTGCCAACCTAGCAGTTCGAAAACAAGTAGATACATAGGTACCACTTCGGTGGGAAGGTAACAGCGTTCCGTGCGCCTTGGTGTGTAGTCATGCCGGCCACATGACCACGGAAACATCTTCGGACAGCGCTGGCTCTTCGGCTTGGAAACGGAGATGAGCACCGCACCCCTAGAGTCGGACTCGACTGGCTTTCGAGCAAGGGAAACCTTTACCTTTACTTTTTAACTTCCAAAAAAGCATTTGAGACTCCAGCAGAGTATTTCGAGTAGAGCTGGGTTGTAGAATTGTGATGCCGGCTTATTTAAAAGTGCCGTGAACTTCTTCTTCTTTTCTTCTTCTAGAGGATGAAGATTTCTCTATCTTGTTGAAAGCTTTAGAAGGTAGGTTGTCACGGCTGCCCTCTGCCTTGTTGTACGTTTGTGCCTGTCTGTTGCATGTTTGTGTCTGACTGTCTCCCTCTAAACAAATGGGAAAATGTTTTAGTTGCTTTCATGGTTTTGTATGTGTATTTTAGCTGTGTGTCCAATGTTTTTCTAATGTGGTTTTCATGATGCATGTTTGTAGCCGCCTTGGTATCCCTGATGCAGGCAGAAAGGCAGGGTATTGATTTTCGTATCTAAATAAAAAACAAACAAATATGTACTGCTGGGAGGGGTGTGTGTGAGTGAACACAAAGGAAATCACCAAATCAGAGAGCCAGTGAGGCGTAGTGGTTGCGAGAAGGTTGTGACTCTCTCTTATTTGTCTTTCCGCAGAATACGAGCGTCACGTCAGTGATGGAATGAAGCTTCCTCCTCTGGTGTGCGTGATAACAGGTAGCCGCTCTTAACAGTTTTGTTTTCTGTTCCTCTTCTTTAGATTGTGAAGCTCATTTATTACATCTATTCTGAAAGAACTTGTGACTGACCCTAGGTCACACCAGCAGCTGCCTGTGAAGGAGTGGGGAATCAAACCCAGTTCTCCCAGATTCTCTTAACCACTGCACCAAACTGGCCCTCAGTCATCTACAGTTGTCTTCTACGATTTCTTAAAAGTATCTTAAATAATTTAAATAATAATAAATAATAAAGTAGGTTAAATTATTTCTTAAAGTATCTTGAATATGAAGCACAAGCATCTGTTGCATATTATTGCTTGTTCTTATTTAGAACTCGCTTGAGTCATTTCTTATTTATCACTATTTATGTATCTTTATTCTATCTTTCCCGATTAACTCCGTAACTTCTTTTCTGGTAGTTTATTAATACAAACATGTTACCTAACTGGCCTTCTGTTTTTAATAAGATGTTCTGCTGCTCTGAGCCACTCATGCCGGACCCAGCTACATTAGCGTCTGGTCTCCTCTGTAGAGGATGACGACTTGGGGCACGCAGAGTAGATGCGGCCCAGAATGTCCAATCCACATCCCGTGTCCCTTCGTCCGATGATAGTCACAGTTCACTGTTTATAAAAGTAGCTAGAATATTCTCGGTGCTGTGCTGGAATAAAATCAAAAATGGGTTTGCAGCAGTGTTCCCTCTAAGCTGAGTTAGTGTGAGCCAGCTCACCGTTTTTTAGCCTCCGGCTCACACATTTTTGTTTCAGCTGAGGAAGGAGGGCTCCAGAGCAAACTAATTTATGCAGCTGCCAAGTTGCTCGCTCACAGCTTTAATGCCAGTAGCTCACCAAGTAGAATATCTGCTCACAAGACTCCACAGCTTAGAGGGAGCATTGGTTTGCAGGCTAAAAACCCCCCATTGAATTGTGTGTTTTCTGTGTCTTAAAAGGCAAAGGGCCTCTGAAAGAGTATTACAGCAAGCTGATGTCAACCATGCCGTTCAAGCACATCCAGATCTGCACACCCTGGCTGGAAGCGGAGGACTACCCCCTGCTCTTGGGTAAGGAGTTGTTCGGGACTCTTCAGCATGGGGGATAGGCAGTGTGAATGCCTTCAGTGGGGACCAGCTTTTGCTGAAAGGCGACTTCTGGTCCGTCTCTGCTTCTGCTTCACTGCCTCCCCAAGGTAAACATCAGGACTGGTGGTGGGGAAATGGGATGGGACCAGTGTTCCCCCTAAGCTTCAGTAGGGGGTGCTGGCGCACAACATTTTAGCTAGCTGCTCAGGGATTTCAGCTTCCAGCTCACGATGGAGGATGGGGGGTTGGGACCAAAGACTCGTCGAGCCCCTGCGGTCCAGGGCGTGTCCGTATGTAGGCAGGGCTTGGAGTGCACCAACAGCATTGGAGAAATCGTAGGTGGGGAGGCGTGTTAAGAACTCAGTTGCGCTTCTCGTGGGACTCATCTGTTTGTAGAGCTTGACTCCAGTCCTTGATTATTATTTTTGAGTGGGGGGGTCCCTGACCCTTTTCAGTCTACGAACACATTTGGGATTTCTGAGAGGAGGTGGCCAGAATGGCTGCCACAGGAGACAAGAGAGCCGAATGCAGTACCCCCCCTTTTTTGCAAAAGAATCAAAGAATTTATTTTATTTATTTATTTATTTATTTGATTTTTATCCCGCCCTCCCGCCGAAGCGACTCAGGGCGGCTTACAACAATTAAAAACCAGTAAAAATTGATACAGTACATCTAAAAACAGTCAATAAAACAGCCAATATAACTTATTAACAATAAAATTACAATTAGAGCATTACAGTTTGCGCATGGCAGCCGTCCATATAAAGTGCTAGAATGATTGATCTGGGCTGTTGGCTGCTGTTGCAGCGGAAACCCCTTTCATTTGAATAAGAGCCGCCAATGACAAGCCCCGCCTTACAGTGGCCCCTCCCACTTTCTGTAAATATTGGTGGGCACTGGCAGGCACAATGGTGCCCACAGGCACCATGTTGGGGAACCCTGATTTAGAGCATTTCCATCTCATGCTTTTTCCCCAAAAGCTCGTGGTAGAGGGTACGACTGGCTCTAGTGAGGCTTCCAACCCAGGTTTGTTTGGTGTAGTGGTTAGGAGCGTGGACTCTAATCTGGGAGAACTGGGTTTGATTCCCCACTCCTCCACATGCAGCTGCTGGGGTGACCTTGGGTAAGCCACAAGTTCTCTCAGAGCTGTTCTCTCAGGAGCAGTCCTCGAAAGAGCTCTCTCAGCTCACAGGGTATCTGTTGTGGGGAGGGGGAGGAAAAGGAGATTGTAAGCCGCTCTGAGACTCCAAGTGAAGGGTGGGGTATAAATCCAGTCTCTTCCCCTGCTCCTGATCCAAAACACCAACCAGTACACCACACAGCCCGTACAAGCACCTTTTTGGGTAGGCCACATTGTGTGGTCACAAGGCCATCTGATTTTGTACCACAAGAGTGTTGGACTTTGCATGCGTAATTAATTTAGTCTTTTTGTCGGCAATAAAGCAGTCGTCCGGTTGTTCCGCTGCAGGCTAGTTTATTGCACAAGACCGAATCTTTCAGAATACAACACCAGGATTCATTGTTCTTAATGGAAACCTTACAGGCTCGGCGGACTTGGGCGTTTGCCTCCACAAATCGTCCAGCGGCTTAGATTTGCCCATGAAGGTCGTGGACATGTTCGGCTGCTGCTTACCCGTGTGCGCAGTGCACTTCCGGTGGTAAGCATGTGCGCATTTCACATTCTGCATTTTGTCAAATCCATCAGTGCGTGTATCATGGTTGCCTGGAGTTCAATCTAAAGACAGGGTCCGTGACACGATAACATGCATTTAAACGCAATGCTCTTCTTACATAACGTGACCAACTTCACTTTGGAATGCAGAAAGAGACGACGGGAATGTGCAGGCATGTAGAACAGTAGTAGTTGATTTTTCTCTTTCCAAAACAACAGTGTCCCTCTCTGGCTTGGAAACGCAGGACTGGGACTTAGTGGAGAGCCAGCTTGGTGTAGTGGTTAGGGGCGTGGACTCTAATCTGGGAGAATCGGGTTTGATTCCTTCGTCCTCCACATGCAGCTGCTGGTATGAACTTGGGTCAGTCACAGGTTCTCTCAAGAGGCAACGGCACCTTCCTTATGTAGCTGGAAAAATAAACTATGGGAACACTTCCTGTTAGGAAAAATTGCTTCACAAAATGCTGCTCTTATCATGAATAACAATATGCATACATTTCAAGCTATTTGGTTCCCTGTGGTCGATTGTTTGGCCAAAGATTATTTTTTACCTAATAATAGATACTATCAGAATCTGTTGTACTTCTGAAATGAGCTCTGAAACTCTTGTTATTTGCTGTTATAGTAGATTTGTTGTTACACGTTTTACTGTTTATAGTTGTGTTCATCTCTTTAAGCATATGATATCAATGTAATGGAAAGGAAACCCTTGATAAATAAACTGTTAAAAAAAAGAGCTGTTCTCTCAAGAGCAGTCCTCGAAAGAGCTCTCTCAGCCGCACCTGCCTCACCGGGTGTCTGTTGTGGGGAGGCGAAGGGAAAGGAGATGGTTAGCCACTCTGAGACTCCTTCGGGTAGTGAAAAGCAGGGTATAAATCCACTCTTCTTCTTCTCTTCTTGGATAGCAGAAAGTCTTGGGTTCAATCTCTTGCATCGATAGTTAAAGGGTCTTTGGGGGAGAGGCATGGGGAAATCGATCAGTTAGATGGAAAGCCATCCGTCAGAGTGTAGATAGACAGTTCTGAGCTAATCCGACTGAAGATTTAACTTGGTCCAAAGCAATGTTCCCTCTAAGCTGAGTTAGTGTGAGCTAGCTCACAGGTTTTTAGCCTCCGGCTCACACATTTTTGTCTTCGCTCAGGAAGGAGGGCTCCAGAGCAACCTAATTTATGCAGTAGGCAAATCGCTCGCTCACAGCTTCAATGCCGGTGGCTCACAAAGTAGATTTTTTGCTCACAAGACTCCACAGCTTAGAGGGAGCATTGGTCCAAAGGCACTTTCATGTACTCACACAGCTAACAGATTAATTGTGGCGTGAGCTTCCATGGGCTGATTTGTCCAAGGCATGACGAAGAAAATGCCTTTGCCAGGACCTTTCTAAAATATTGATCCAGGTGGGTAGCCGCATTGGTCTGAAATCAGCAGAACAGAGTCCAGTGGCACCTTTTAAGGCCAACAAAGTCTTATTCTGGGCATAAACTTTCGTGTGTATGCACACTCCTTCTGATGTCAAGAAGTGTGCATGCACATGAACGCTTATACCCAGAATAAAATTCTGTTGGTCTTAAAGGTTCCTCTGGACTCAAACATTTTTTAAAATATTGACCAAGTTTCTTGAGCTCAAGCCAGTTCTACTGTACTTCGCTACTAAAGGCCCACCCTGTGGGAAACGTTTACAGAAATGTGGCTGAAAGCGAATGAATGGCAGGTTTCTCGAGTACATTCCTCTCCTCTCCTGGCCCAACTGTCTCCCGCGTAGCAGGTTGAGGAGAAGAAAGCTGACAAAGTTGGCGTTAGAGAAGATTAGGCCTGTTAATTACAGCTCACACACGGTTTTTATTGAGCTGGGCTCCCGCAGTGAAAGCGATGGGATTTGTCCCGTCGATCGATACCGAGAACGGCCCCTTTTAACACGTCGCCTGGGTGTCCCCGCCCGCCTCTCTTTGTTTCCCCGCAGCCTGCACGAGCTGGTGAAGCACGACGTGAACGGTTTGATCTTCAGAGACTCGGGCGAACTCGCCGGGCAGCTGAAGGTACGGAGGCGATTTGAGAACTGGACTGCTGATCGATTGACGGTTAGATGACGAGGTTGCCGTTCATGCACGGACACGGGACGCTGGCTGATGGCGAAATGTCCTCAAGCTGCAGCCTTCCGTATGCTTGCTTGGAAGTGAGCCATTTGGACTTCCTTCTGAGTAGGCATGTCTAGGATTAGCCCAAGTGTAAGGAAGGAGTCAAAAAGGATGCTGTAGGAGGGAAAGGGAAGGGGGAAAAGGTACGTTCACCATGGAGCGAATACAGCGATCTGGGCTGCGCTGCCATCAGAACGGCAAGGGACGGGCTCCTAAGAATAGCACAGATGAACGAGTTTAAAGCGGGTCAGCGTTGTTGGTCCACAGCATAAAGGACTAGATTCGAGTCCGGTAAAAAGCGGGTCAGCGTTGTTGGTCCACAGCAGAAGGACTAGATTCGAGTCCGGTAGCACCTTCGAGACTGATGAGGTTTCCGGTACAAAGTTTGAGTCCAGTGGCACATTTAGAAGAAGAGGAGGAAACTGGATTTGTACCCCACCCTTCACTACCTGAAGGAGTCTCAGAGCAGTTTACAATCTCCTCTCCCTTCCCCTCCCCACAACAGACATCCTATGAGGTAGGTGGGGCTGAGAGAGCTCTGAGGGAACAGCTCTGAGTGAACTTGTGACTGACCCAAGGTCACTCCAGCAGCTGCATGTGGAGGAGTGGGGAATCAAACCCGGTTCTCCCAGATTAGAGTCCGCGTTCCTAACCACTACACCAAACTGGCTCAAGACTTAACAAAGTTTCAGGGCGTATGTTTTTGTGTACATGCCCACTTCCTCAGATACAGTGTAATGGAAATTACCAGTCCGTACATGTAGGTATAGGGTGAGCAGTAAATTAGCGTACAGCATAATGCAAGTGTTTAATAGATTCAAGGACCAAACAGAAATAACAAGCTTAGTTTATACGGTTACCATTTGTTTGGGTTTAATTCTGGGGGAGAACATAGTGAAGGAAATAAATATATCAGAATTGGAGATTGATGGGCAGAGGTACCCTTAATTGTGGGATGCCGAGAGTAAATTAAGTAATTAACAGAGACCTTGCAGTATCTCCAGTCCAAGCTCCCTTCATCAGATAACAAGATTTCCTCTGTGAACCCCTTCTGCCCCCCCCCCACTTGAGGGGTTACTATTCGCCGTGGCCAAAAAGCCACCGGGCACGGGGGGGGGGGTGTTGTGAGAATTGTTTTTGTGTCCACAGCAAGCGTGGCAGAGTGTGAACGGGGGGAATTGGTTGCCTGACTTTGCCCCGATGCCCTCCCCATCCCAGGATATTTTCTGCCCAGATTATAGTCTCCTCGTGTTCAGCTCGAATAATCCTGTGTTCTTGTTATGTTTCACATATGTGATTATACCACAATGCTGATATGTTTGGGAGGAGGTTCTCTCCTCTAGTTGTGTTGGTTGTTTGGTACTTTTTTTTTTGTGCAGGGGTACAAAAGGGAGTCTTTTAAATTTGTGATTAGTTCTAGCTAGAAGTAAACCACTGGTGTTTCAGTGCATCTGTCCGTAATTGTCCATTTAACCACCAGTACAGGAAGGGTGATCTTTTGAAACTGCAGAACTTCTACTCACTTGTGAATTGCACTGATCTCTCTGTTCTTCCACCTCCAAACCTTTCTTCTTTCTCACCGTGAAGATGCTTTTCTGGGAGTTCCCTACTGCAGAAGGCAAGCTTAATTTATTCAGAAGAAATCTTCGGACGGCTGAGCAGTTGCGGTGGGACGAAAGTTGGGAACGGACAGTATTTCCTTTGTTTACCAACCGTTGTTTTGCTAACCTTAAGACTGACCTTATTGAAAACTAGGGCTTCCGGTATGGCGCGTCGACGGGAGGCCGCTCTGAGCTCTGAACCGCCCATCCCGCCTTTGCCTTTGAGCCTCCCGAACTGCGGGAGAGCTCGACCAGCCCCCCGGGGGAGGGGGCTGGAGCAGGGGACGCTTTTCTGGCCCCTCCCGCAGTCGGCAGAGACGCTGCCACCCGTTTTTTTAAATAATCAGGACTGTAGTGAACAAATTAAAGCGAATTGAAACAACACAGAGAAGCAAGAGCAACTCGGACTGGAAAAGGAAAGAATTGGAGCTGTTTGAAAGGCTTGAAAAGTAATTAAAGACCCCCCAACATCGGCGTCCAAGCAGGTGATGTAAAGCGGCCGGGGAGAGACGCAGGACGTAGTTGTAAATGGATTCTTTGAGAGGGGGTAGAACCACGAAAGCTGGGTGCTATTTTTTTTTATGTGTTTGGTAATGAAATAAAGAAGGGGCAAAAGACATTGAAAAAAATTTGGCGGTGACTGGAGACTGAAAGGACTGAGACGGAGTGTATAGGAGGTAACGAGGAGAAAATGGATGGAAATTGGGAAGTTGGGGAGATGGATATGGAGCAGTTCATAAGAGCAATAAAAGAGGCGGTGAAGAAAGGTTGTGAGGAAGCGTGCCGGGAGATAAAGAAGGAATACAATTTGCAGGAGGATATAGAAGGAACAGAAAAACTGGGATTAAAGTTTGAGAAGGAGTCGCGAGAGGAGGATATGCCGGAGGAAAAAGACTGTGTGGAGGGAAAAAACTTGAGTGACTGTGTAGAGGTGAGAGTCGTGCTTAGTAAAGCAAGAGAAATCAACAGAGAGGTGTCTGAACTCAAAGAAGGACTGCCCAAAGAAAATAGACAGTGTTTAAAAATGGGATGAGAATGGGACAAGATGATTAAAAGAAAGAAGCGACGAGCATGGAAGTTTAAAATGGACAGTGGAATCTGGAGACTGGAAGGTTTGAAAGATAGAAGAAAAAGGCATGGAGGTCAAGGAGTGTGTAAGGAACGTAGGCACATGGACGGCTTGAAACAAAAAAAGAAAATGCAAATGCTCAGGAGGAAATTGAAGAGATATGAAAAAGGGTTATAGTGCTGACTGTTGATTTGGATTTAAATTGGAAAACTGACCTGAAATTTACTGATTTAAGATATAAATGTTTGTGTATTGAACCTACTTACCTAGGAATTTATGCATTTTGTTTTCAGGGTGATAGTAAATGGAGATAGGAGGTGTAGTTTTAAGAAAGTACGGGGAAGTGATTAATTGATTAAATATAATGAATCATGATGGTTATAAATTAAATTTGTAAATTGAGGTAAAGAAGTGATAGGAATGTGTAAATTGATTGCAAAAGATAGTAGTGATTTGGTATCAAATGAAATATTTAAAATAAAAATGTTTAGAGTTTTTTAGAGATGAAATATTTAAAGAGAAAAGGATGAAAAAAGTATGTAATTATATAATGAATTGTTAAAATTAATGTTATAGAAAGATTTGATTAATTGAGGGTAAATGGATAAGATTAGGGTTGCTAGAAGGTGATTTTGTATTAGTAATTTATTTATAATAATATAAGGTTGGTTATTATGATTTGGTTCTGTTGATGTAAATGAGAAGGGAAGATATAAATTAAGAATGTTTTCAACACCAGTTAGTGATAAGTAGGTCTAATGTTACCTAAGGTATTGACTAGGATGGATACAGAATAGTCTTAGGTCAACTAAGTTGGATATGAAATTGACTTTATAAATGAATGACTAACAGGGAATTAATTATAAAGAGGTAGTAGTGATAAAGGTCCTAAATAAAATATAAAAGGAATATTAAAGTTGTATATGAATTTAAACCCCTATATCAGAAGCACAGAAATGACAAGACATGAGAGAAGAGATGTAGACTTACAGAGCTATAGGTATATTCTTTAGGGTAAGTCCAGATTAGATAGTTAATGAATTTCAAATGGTCTCAGAGTTATGAAATGATAACCAATACAGATTAGATATGATAGAGCGGAGATGTTGTATCTGTGTTGTTTAGAAGTATGGTATAAGGCTGAGATATGTATGTAAATTTATTGTTAAACCCTTATATGTGCATGATATAGGCTTCAAAAACCCAATAAATTTAATTATATATATATTAAAAAAGACTGACTTTATTACTCACGTATTCCCCAAATTTGTAACTTGTGTTGGTAAGTTAAGGTGGTTTTTTAAAAAAATAAAAAAATACATGAATAAAATAGCCAAACCTCTCCCCACTTTGAATCTTGCTCATAAGATTTACCTGTAATCTCTTCAACTGAGCCAGTGTGATATTGGAGTTCATGCACAGACTTCTGGCTTTGTCTACACTGAGATGCAGTGAGGGTCTTGGTGATTGGCTGAATTGCCCTGATGTCACAGAAGGGTGGGGAGGTGAAAGCATCTGTGGCTGCCATTGGCTGACCTTTACAAAGGCACAAATCTAGCAAGAGTATCTTAGTTTGCTAATGATGTTTGTCTGAGAGAGGTGGAAAGAAAGAATGAAAGAGGTGGAAAGCAAGAGAAAGAAAGCAAATAAATGGGGGGGAGGGGGAAGGAAGGAAGGAAATAGAAGGGGAGGGAGAGGTGGAAAGACAGCAACTTTAACTTTTAAATGCGTCCTCCAAGGGGCCCCCCCATGCCCCCACGCTAGCTGGCTTGGCAAAGGGATTTAAAGGGACAAAGGTCTTCTCCAAGCTGGCGGGGGGGGGGGGGGGT